AGCATGTGTCAGATACGGATCCAGAACTGAATTCTTTAAAACAAAATGGCCGCCAGTCGGCCATTTCGAACCCGATCCAAAAAAAAAAATGACGTGCATCAAGGTCCTATTATGTTTAATGTATGTACCAAATTTGAACAAAATCCGTCCATGCATAACTGAGATCCGGGTCCGGAATGGTGAAAATGTGTGATTTTGATGCATTTTCGGCCTTAAAATGGCCGCTATTCGGCTATCGTTAATCGGATCATGAAACAAATGCACATACATATTTGTGACATGATGTACCTTGTGTGTGTGAAGTTTGAACTTGATCAATCCAGACATGTCTCGGATACGGATCCAGAACTGAATTCTTTAAAACAAAATGGCCGCCAGTCGGCTATTTCGAACTTGATCCGGAAAAAAAATGACGTGCATCAAGGTCCTATTATGTTTAATGTATGTACCAAATTTGAATGAAATCCGTCCATGCATAACTGAGATCCGGGTCCGGAATGGTGAAAATGTGCGATTTCAATGCATTTTCGGCCTTAAAGCGGCCCCCATTTGGCTATCGTTAATGAGATCATGAAACAAATGCACATACATATTTGTGACATGATGTACCTTGTGTGTGTGAAGTTTGAACTCGATCAATCCAAGCATGTCTCAGATACGGATCCAGAACTGAATTCTTTAAAACAAAATGGCCGCCAGTCGGCCATTTCGAACCCGATCCCAAAAAAAAAATGACGTGCATCAAGGTCCTATTATGTTTAATGTATGTACCAAATTTGAACAAAATCCGTCCATGCATAACTGAGATCCGGGTCCGGAATGGTGAAAATGTGTGATTTTGATGCATTTTCGGCCTTAAAATGGCCGCTATTCGGCTATCGTTAATCGGATCATGAAAAAAATGCATGTGCATATGTCCCATATAATGTGCGATGTATGAGTGAAGTTTGAACTTAATCGGTCCATGCATGTTCGAGATACAGGTGATCACGGACGCACGGGCTGACGGACAGACGGACGGACGCACGGACGCACACAGGGCAAAACATAAGTCCCCGTTTTCGGACTGCGTCCGAACGGGGACTAAAAAACTTTCCTTAGGCGGGTTTGATAATTTGGACATTCTAACAATTTTCCATTTAGCTGAAGATATTTTAAACAATTGTTGCACAGTCCCTCTATAAAGGGACTGTGATTGTTGTCAGTGCAAAAATGTGAACTAGTTGTTGCTTTTACAGAAGCCAGCCTAGGTACTTATGATTTTATTTGTTTATGTACTAAGCTCACTTAACTTTTATAAACAAATCGTTTAAATTTTATAGTCCTGACTCTAAGATAAGTTAAATAGTTTATGTTATTATTAAGTAATCTACGCTGTATTTTGAACATTCAGGACATAAGCCATCACATCTTGTTGGTTTCTTTACTCTGAAGTTTCTTAGTACCGGTAACAGTTTTAATTTCTTTTTCTGTAATTATATACCCTATATATAAAATATGTTTTTGAAATGCAGTCCCTCGCCCCCTTGGACATTTTCGCCGATTTTTAGTCGCCGGAGTGATTCATGTCCCAAATTTTGGTTCTCCGGGCATCTCTAATAAATACCCTATCTAACCGTTGGACTGAATTAGCGAAATTATGAAAAATTCATAGAAAATTGGGCGAAAATCGATCGTTTTTTGGCTCAGAAACGCAAGGGCGATAAGACTCGATTTTCAAGAACGCAGGTCGCTCGGATCGGACGGTTTCTATTGTTTCGAGTCTGTTGTGTGTCTAGAAACATAACAACTTTGTTTTTTGGTGAATACAGAACATGCTCTGTTCCAATAAAGGATTTTGATATGCAAATCGAACAATTTTAATAGTTTCTTATTGTAACGTCTCCTACATAAATAGTCCTCTACTCCCCAGAATTTGACAATGGTACTAGCCCGGAATGGACTTTCTGCTCAGCGCGTCTTTGATTGTAGCAATGTTTACGCCACTGTACGAAAATACGCACACTCGCGAATTTGACAACATTCACTTTAGCGTTTTAGGATAGTGGGAATATAAGCAAATAGATGGAAATGCCAGTTACATCACTCATGAAGATTGATGATTCGATTGCTGGCCGGGATAGATGTATTAAGTGTCTATTTCTAACAATATGTCTACACATGCGATTCTCAATTTCGATGGGTAAAATCATATCGCTGCTGTGGACGGCAAAAGATTGTTTTGGTTTTGCGGCTCTCTTGGCATGGGCAACTGATTTTTAGGTTTCTGTTTTTATATATTCTGACGTTTACTTGGTCGTATTTTGTATATACCACTCAGACACTGACAACAAGTGAGTAAACGGACCGGGACATAGTCAACATGGGACTCTGAAGGCCCGGAGAAAGCGTCATCTTACAACATTAATAAACGAAATTTACAATATCATTCTTCCGAACAATCTGATATTTATGCTGGATAACAAAGTATACAAGTACTGTCTACGATATACTGCAAAATGGAAATACATACTGTAGAAATACTTTATTTTCGCTTGGAATTTATTTTCGCTATTTTCGCTGAAGCGATGATTCTGTGAAAATAAAATCCAGCGAATATACTTTTTTTCCTATATTTCACATTAAACTCATCAAAAATCAGTGAAAATAAATTCCAAGCAAAACGCCCAAAAAGCCTTTTCAGCGAAAATTTATTCCAGCGAAAATAAAGTATTCCACAGTACCTATTTAACCGTTGTTGATTTTTTTTACAAAATCCCAAGAACACAAAACAAACAACTGAGAACAATCGACAAAACAAAAATACTTCACAGTCACTGTAGCCACACCAGTAAGAAAAAGATACTGTGGAAACTCATTGCAAATGTAAATACAAAATAAATGTCAGTGAATACAATATTTATTAATTCAGCTTCCATGGACAAGTTCACAGAAGAATTAATACGTGAAAACACTGGAAATCACACATACAGACACACAAAATTGATTTATCCTAAATTTGTAGGAGATACATTTGGCACGAAGCTATCCAGTTTTTTGGCTGTTACTATGGCAACGGTGTGACCTGCTTGCCAAGTTTGAGGGAAATAGGCCAAGCCAAAAAACAATCACAGAAGAATTAATACGTGAAAACACTGAAAATCACACACACAGACACACAAAATTGATTTTAAGGGCAATCCTAGCGGAGCGGATCGTCAATAGTGAACAAAAATGTTCGTAAATATTACTGGCCGCAAAAGACGCTCATCGCGAAGTGACTTGTATTATCAAATGATATGTTTTATACGGTAACCGTGCAGGTTTACTGTACGCAGAGCTATATGAATGAGTATTTTCACTTCCGGGATCGTCGTGAGCCGAACATACGAGATAAGGACATGTTTTCTCAGCTACATGGTATTGATTTGCATTGTAATACCAACCACACCACAACAAAATATCGAGAGAAACTTACATTATCTAGTGGAACTGAAAAGAACTCCCACTAAATCCATTTACGTCAAGTTTTGGATAGGAAGGCAGACATCTTGGAAGTGTAGCCTTTTTCGAGTTTCTAGTATTAATAACAATTTGTTTCATCGTAAGTTTATTCCAATGAGATATATTATCGAATGTGGGCTAATATGCAGTTCAAATAATTTGAATATGTTACGAACAATGAGTGAATAATGAAATAGTATTCAGATTTCAACGAGCGAGGATGTAAAAACAGGTTAAGGGTCAACTCGTTTCCCAGGCTGCAATGCAGCGTTCATCCGGGTTCTTACAATGGCGACTGAAATTCCTGAACTTTTCGGCTGACACTTTAAGTTGAATATTTTTCTTCAATCTCCGTCCAAAATATTGATGCGAATACAGAGTTTCACAAGGTTAGTGATAGCCCAGTAAGTATTGTTGCTGTCAAATAATATTGACATTCGCACTTGATACCAGATATTGTCTGGACTAAAACTGTTTACATCGGAAGTTGTTTGTAATGTTCATGGCGTATCGCAGACGTCTGCTCTATCAGCTGATTGTCATGTTGAGATTTCAACAACATACATAACAATGCAATACTTATCTGTTACGACCCTCTCCTCCATCGACGAGTCAGAAGATTTGTTTAACATTATTTCAAAAATTATATATATTATTTTACTATGACCGATATCACGAGTCGTGATTTTTTTTCGCTTCATAAAACTAAACTTTACTTTTAAACAATCAGTTGGATTTTTAACGTGGACCAACACACATATTTTAAAAAAAGCACATATATATATATATAAGTTCTATACAGAATTCGATATTTGAGTACCCGATTGGATATCAGTAATCGGATATGAAGTTAACATTTTAAAATGTCAGATGTCCTCACTTTAAACAATAAGTGAAATTTTACACTGGAATCGAAGCCATATACATTAATGAATTATAAACTCAAATTGCAGTTACACGCCAGTGATATTTTTCTTAAACTTAACACAAATCAGTAGGTAAACAGAGACTGCTTGAATGAAAAGAATAGCGTAAACATTTTCATAAAAAAAGTATACCAAGTGGTTCTTTAAGTCGTGAAAACAGGATTTGGCACCTCACAAGGTAACATGAATTTGGGCAGTTTTTTTAAACATTTCAAAAAGGACGGTTTAATAATTCAAGAATAACTGCAAACTGCCAATGATGTTAGTTTCTAATTTAATTTACATTTGTGAGAAGAAAACCCTGACTGTTATTGTTTAGACACACAAGGATTGTAATATTATTTGATCATGGTTGAGAAAGTGTCAACCAATCACCTGGCTATCTGATCAATGAATCAAATACCTCGTAGAATGAAATGAGGCACCTGCCTAGCCATTCTAATCATCAGTAATAAATTGCTAAACTGCCCAACATAACTTTACACAGAATTTACTGGGGTACTCCAAAGATTGATATCATTTTATTTAATTTTCTCTCATAAGTTTCATAAAATCAGTTCCATTAGGACACTCTGCAATACATATTTACTAAATAATTTTGCTGGAGGCTGCACAGTATGTGTATTTATGAGGTGCTGGATTGAAACACACACATTTACACCTATTCATCTACATTTCACAATTGCCACTTTCTAACCAGCAAGTACAGACACATCTCTTCTTCAGATCATTGAGTTATGCACCAAAGTATATATTGAGATGTAACCTTAGTAGACTTGAAAAGTGACAACAGTTTTTTTTATGTTCTTGTTTCGTTTCTTCTTGAAGGTAAAGTTTTGGTAAAATGTCTGGTAATAATCACACAATGGAGTTTGTCTCTTTGCCAGAAGGCACTGGATTGAAACCACAGTTAGATTCTATATTTGCCGAAGTACAAGCTAATCTTCCGTCCATTGACTTTGAACTCTCAGATGTAAGTACCGATATACCTCTTTACAAATTCATCTACTTGTACACAGTTACAGATTTACAAATTTTAACTACACCAAGCAAATTTTAATAAACTATGTTGGCCAAATTCCTAATTTTCAAGTTGTTAGTTTTCTACGGAATTCAGCTAGAGGGCGCATCCAAAATACCCGGATGACGAGCCTGAGTGGGGTTGTTTTTATTGAAGTTCTGTTTTCTTACATGCGTAAATCAATAGATTGGAAAAGCAAAAAAGTTCCAGAACTTCGCAAATTTCTTCAGGATTGTGGTATAACTTGCAGCAATGTTCGTAAAGCTAAACTTTTTGAACTTGTTGAGTTAGCAAACGAGTTAAATGTTCGCCAAAAATTAAACAATCGTCATCGTACTGTAAAACACAGTGAGTCGACGATGACTCTGGTAGATCCGTGTAACGTAAAAACTTGGCAAAAAAACCTTCATACTTTGCCTTTGTTTGAAATAGCTGATATGTTCGCATATTTGTTGCATCAAAGTGACTGGACAACAGCCAGACTGAAAGAATATTTACTTGATAATGGTTATTTACTTTCTGTAAAGCTTCAT